CCTTCCTTCCTTCTTTCCTTCCTTCCTTCCTTCCTTCCTTCCTTCCTTCCTTCCTTCCTTCCTTCCTTCCTTCCTTCCTTCCTGCTGATCCTGGGAGGCTTGAACTCAGGTCCTGACTTTTTTTTTGTTCAAGGCTAGCTCTCTATCATTTGGACCATAGCTCCACTTCTGACTTTTTTTGTGATTAATTAGAGATGAAAGTCTCACAGACTTTCCTTCCTAAGGTGGCTTTTGAACCACAATCCTCATCTTCCTGAGCAGGATTATAGGCATGAGCCACCAGCACTGGGCCACCTCTTAATTCTATTGTGTGTAAATATATTTTGAAATAGAAGTGCCTACTCCTTAGCATTATTTTCTGGGCATGTATTTTATGAATGCTAAGTATGTATCTGCCTTACTTATTTTTTGCTAGCCCTGGAGTTTGAACTCAGAGTTTATGTGCTATTCATAGCTTTTGTGCTCAAGGCTAATGCTCTACCACTTGAGCCACAGCTCTATTTCCAGCTTTTTTGGTGCTTGATTGGAGATAAAGAGTCTCATGGACTTTCCTGCCTGGGCTGATTTTAAACCATGATCTTTAGATTTCAACCTCCTGAGTTGCTAGGTTTACAGGCTTGAGCTACTAGTTCCTGGCATCTGCCATTTTCTTTTAGGATGTATACTTCTGTATTTCCAAACTAGCTACATTCATATGTTTATCTTACATGTATATGTCTTTTTTTTCCTTTTCTTTTTGAATGACTAGGTTATGCTACGCAGGCTGGATTTGAACTCCTAGACTAAAGCAATCTTTTGTGTCTAAGCCTCCTGAGTACCTGAGACTGCATATGAACTATACTGCTATGTGTCTAGTTAATATACATATGGAGCTTTTTTTGGGGTGGGGGGTCGGTCGTGGGACTTCAACTCTGGACTTGAGTGCTGTCCCTGAGCTCTTTAGCTCAAGGCTGTTTGTTGCTCTACCACTTGAGCCACAGGGCCACTTTCAGTTTTCTGGTGGTTAATTGGAGATGAGTCTCAGCCTGGGCTAGCTCTGAACCTTGATCCTCAGATCTAAGCCTCCTGAGTAGTTAGGATTACAGGCGTGAGCCACTGGCACCTGGTAGAGCTTTTTTTTTTTTAAATACATTTTGGGAACTGGTGCCAGTCTAGTGTACTGTTACTTACTGCATGAAATGATCACAAATCCAGTCTTAATTTTGAGCTTTTTCTTTTCAACAGATTTTGCACTGATTGCAAAAATAAAGTCCTCCGAGCATACAATATCCTTATTGGTGAACTAGATTGCAGCAAAGAAAAGGGCTACTGTGCTGCACTTTATGAAGGCTTGCGGTGCTGTCCACATGAGCGACACATACATGTTTGCTGTGAAACAGACTTCATTGCACATCTTTTGGGTCGTGCTGAGCCAGAGTTCGCAGGAGGGTATGAGTATGTAGTTTGCTAGAATGGGCTATCTAGCGCTTTGCTTCATTTTATTACGGAAAGTTTATTTTCATCATCTTTGCATCTATATATATAATGTATGTATAAAATAAATTGTGCTTATAAGATCATATTTTCTTACTAAACTAAGTGAAAATATGGGAAAACTGTTCTCTGGTGTTTGGTTTAGTCTTTTGCTCCTTGCTTGAAGGGAGATGGGCTTTTTTTGGCTTTCATTATTATTATGGATTATCATTTTCACTTGAAAATGATTAAAAGACATTTTTCTTCATGCATTATTATGTTTAGGTTTTGTTCATGATAATGGCTTTATAGAAGTGAGATCTTTACAGCAGTGGGTTAAGAAATGCTTTATTTTTGTAATTCATGAACTGTGTATATTGTGTAATTACTATAATAATCTTAAATGTCATCTTTGGCTTTGTTAGGAAAACTAAACTTTAGGAATATTGTTCATAGAATAAGTCAAACTCATTTCCCTTTGCATGTTATATGTTTATGTAGCAACTGTCATTGGAATGTCTACTTTCAGCTAGGTATTTTAGAATTCAAAGACAGAATACAAAGTCACTGTAGTGCTACAAGTACTTCTGCTAAAGACTGGGCTAGACAGCTTTATGGTTGAATTATTTTATCATATTGCCTTTCTCTATTCTCAAAACAAAACAAACAGAAAGTAGGAATTTTGCTGTAATTGGAAGGTGAAAGGAACTGTCATGTCTATTGTGAGATAGACCTGATATGGCTTCTCTAGGCCTGAAAACCCTTCGCTTTAGAGCCAGTTCCTGAATTACCTTACTTTAGCAATTTTAGGACTTAATTCTACCTGCATGTGTACTTGTCATTGGTTGTATACATGCATGCTTGTGTTTTTATAAATTTATATATACATATGCGTATGTATAAATGGATTATAAATGTATAGCTGTCTTGTGATTAGGCAGATGGTGTTTAAAACCTGAACTTGGAGATATTTCCGGAATTAAGACACAGTTATTCTCTATAGGCGAAGAGAAAGGCATGCTAAGACAATAGATATAGCTCAAGAAGAAGTTCTAACCTGCTTGGGAATTCATCTTTATGAAAGACTACATCGAATCTGGCAAAAACTACGGGCAGAAGAACAGACATGGCAGATGCTTTTCTATCTTGGTGTTGATGCTTTACGAAAGAGCTTTGAGGTAAGATTGTAGAGTTAAGTTACTGCACTGAATCTTAATGTAAGACACCAGTCCTCAGAGAGCTGTGATCCACTCCTACACATAGCTTTGCGTAGAGAGGGGCTCTGGGGAACTGGAATTTAGATTTCTGAGTTTTTCCTCTTTTTTACGGGGGTGGGGGGGTCAGTTGTGGGGCTTGAACTCTGGGCCTGGGCGCTGTCCCTCAGCTCTAGTCACCTCAAGACTAGTGCTCTTCCATTTGAGCCACAGCACCACTTCTGACCTTTTCTGCTTATGTGGTGCTGAGGAATCGAACCCAGGGCCTCATGCATGCATAGCAAGCACTCTACCACTGAGCCACCTTCCCAGGCCCCCACCCTGCAATTTTTGGTCATGGGGGCTGAAATTTGGACCAGGGTGCTGTCACTCAGCTCTGCAGCTCAAGGCTAGCACCCTCCTACTTGAGCCATAGCACCATTCCTGGCTTTTTTCTGCTTATGTGGTACTGAAGAATAGAACCCAGGGCCTCTTGCATGCGAGGCAAACACTCTACCACTGAGCCAACTTCCCAGCCCATTGTTACTCCTCTAGCCTTGGTTTTTAAATTTTCTTAGAGTAAGAAGTAGAAGTTGGCAAATAAGAAACCTGACCAGGCTGGGAATGTGGCTCAGTGGTAGAGTGTTTGCCTAGCACACATGAAGCCCTGGGTTCAATTCCTCAGTACCACATAAACAGAAAAAGCCAGAGTTGGCACTGTGACTCAGGTGGTAGAGCACTAGCCTCAAGCAAAAAAAAGCTCAGGGACAGTACCCAGGCTCTGAGTTCAAGTCCCAGGACTGGCAAAAAGAAAAGTCTTTCCTATCTCCTACTTCCTTAGTAGCTGGGATTATAGGCATGAGCCACTGTGCCTGGCAAGAACTATTTTTTTCGTTGGTCATGGGGTTTGAACTCTGGGCCTGGGCGCTGTCCCTAAGCTCTTCAGCTCAAGGCAAGAGCTCTACCACTTGAGCCACAGCTCCACTTCTAATTTTCCAGTGGTTAATTGGAGATAAGAGTTTCACAGACTTTCCTGCCCAGGCTGGCTTTGAATTATGATCCTCAGATCTCAGCCTCCTGAGTAGCTAGGATTACAGGCATGAGCCACTGGCGCCTGGCAAGAACTACTTAAAAAAAACAACTTTATTTTGTCAGTTGTGGGGCTTGAATTCTGGGCCTGGGCATTGTCCTCCACTTTCAGTTTTCTGGTGGTTAATTAGAGATAAAATGAGTCTCACAGACTTTCCTGCCCAAGCTGGCTTTAAACCGTGATCCTCAGATCTCAGCCTCTTAAGTAGCTAGGGTTACAGGCATGAGCTACTGGCAAGAACTTTTTTTTTTTTTGTCGGTCATGAGGACTGAACTCTGGGCCTGGGTGCTGTCTCTCAGCTATTCAGCTCAAGGCCTACTACTCTACCACTTGAGCAATAGCACCAGTTCCGGCTTTTTCTGCTTATGTAGTGCTGAGGAATGGAACTCAGGGCCTCATGCATGCAAGGCAAGCGCTCTACCAGTGAGCCACCTTCCCAGCCCAAGAATTACTTTTAAAAGAACATTGGAAGCTTTTTATAATGCCACTATTGAGTTTGTATTTTAATCTTTTTAAATTCATATTCTATAGAATATTTGGCTAATGAATATTTGGTGTATATCAAGCCATATTTGCATCTCTTTTCATTGGGCTACAATGCTTTTGAAAATGGGATGAAATTTTATCCTGAAGCCCATCCAGGAACGCTGTTCTGAAAAGTCTGAGAAGAGTTTTAATAGTTTTCAGTGGGCAGAGTTTTATTTTATTTTTTTTTTATTTTTGTTGGTTGCGTGGCTGGAACTCTGAACCTGGGTGCTGTCCCTGATTTTTTTCACTCAAGGCTAGCGCTCTACCACTTTGGGCCACAGCTCCACTTCTGGTTTTCTGAGGGTTAATTGGAGATAAGAGTATCATGGATTTTCCTGCCCAGGCTGGCTTTGAACTGTGATCCCTAGATCTCAGTCTCCTGTGTAGTTAGGATTGTAGGTGTGAGCCACCGGTGGTTGGCTGGGCAGAGTTTTAACAGTTTTCAGTAGGCATTTTTTTTTTCCTCTTCCTATGTTTGTACCTTCAGAGATTAAATCATCTAGCCAGGCTAAGTTGTCTTTTCGTTATTTGGAGGAATGAGTTAATGGTTTATTTTCTTTGTATTTATTTTGTGCGATCCTAGGACTTGAACTTGGCTTTTTTGCTCAAGACTAACATTCTGCCACTTGAGCCACAGCCCTACTTTGGGCTTTTTTGGTGCTTAATTGGAGATAAGAGTCTTACAGACTTTCCTGCCTGGGCTGGCTTTGAATCAAGATCCTCAGATCTCAGCCTCCTGAGTAGCTAGGATTACAGGCATGAGCCACTGGCACAGGCTTCCATTCTGCTTTTTTAAACTTAGAATATTGTTGGGCATGATAGCGAATGCCCATAATTTCAGTACGTGGAAGCTTAGGCAGGAGTATCGGGAGCCTGTAGTCTGTTTAACTTAGACCCTGTCTCAAAAAAGATAAAAATCATCTGAGAAATCTGAGAAGATAGTTCTGACACTACAGTGATCTAATAATGGTGATGTTGAAATTAGAATATTGTTTGTTCATAGGTATGTGTCTAAGTATATCTTTCTCACAAAAAGTGTGTATTGACTTTCTGAATAGATTTTTTTTTGAGTTTGCCACTATCCAAGTTAACAAAACATGTGCAAGTTCTTGGGTTTGATCATCAGCACTGCAAAAAAAAAAAGTTTAAGATTCTTTATGGAGCTGAGTGTTGGTGGTTCATACTTACAATCCTAGCTACTCAAGAGGCTAAGATCTAAGGATTGTGGTTGGAAACCAGCCCAGGCAGGAAAGTCCGTGAGACACATACTCATCTCCAATAAACTACTTAGAAAAAGCTGGCTTAAGTGGTAAAGTACTAGATTTGAGCAAAAAGGAGCTTATGAACAGTACCCAGGCCCAGAAAAAAAAAAAAAGATTCTTTATGAATACTCTGATTAAATTGTAGCATGAAACATTACATGGATATGTTTGATAAAATTTAAGTTTAATAAATGAGGCTAAAGATGTGGCTAATAGGACCTGCCTAGTAAGTGCTAGGTTCTATGTTCAAACCTCAGTACTACCAAACAAAATTAACAAATGAGAATTCCTGTGGAACAATAAAGGATATTGTAAGTAACATTCACTTTCATATTTGTTTTTTTTTCTTCATATTTGTTTTTATAATAGATGACTGTTGAAAAAGTACAGGGAATTAGTCGCTTGGAACAACTTTGTGAGGAATTTTCAGAAGAGGAACGAGTAAGAGAACTCAAGCAAGAAAAGAAACGCCAGAAACGGAAAAATAGACGAAAAAACAAGTGTGTGTGTGATATTCCTACTTCCTTACAAACAGCAGATGAAAAAGAAGTAAGCCAAGAGAAGGTAGTATTCCTTAGTATCAACTCATACGTGTTGTATAGGTATTATTTTTGATTGATTTGGGCATTTTTATTATGCTTTTTTATATATGAGCTCCTGTAGTTGGTGTACTGTCTTTTTTCCCCAGGAAATTCAATGTCATGCATTTTATGAAGATAGTGTGATCGCTTTTCTTGACTCTCTCATGCTGTTAAAGCACAATATGCAGAGTGTTATTTCTGTTTGTGACCAAAAGCAGTTGTCAGTTTTGGGTGTGTGTGTGCCTGTTCTGAAGCTTGGACCCAGGCTCTCGCCCTCTGGCTTGCCATTTTGACTCACAGCTGGTGCCCTGCCACTTGAGTAGCTCTTCTGCTTTTGGCTTTTTGCTGGTTATTTGAAAATAAGCATCTTGGGTTTGTTTTCCCAGGTTGACTTTGAGCCTTAATCCTCATAGTTTAGCCTTCTGAGTAGCTAAGATTATAGGTGTGAGCTCCTGGCTTCTGGCGCTGTTCTGAATTTTTTTTTCCACTCCTGGGCCTTGAACTCAGGGCCTGGACACTGTCCCTGAGCTTCTTTTGCTCAAGGCTAGCACTCTACTACTTGAGCCACAGTATCTGTCTTTTTCTGTTTATGTAATACAAAGGAATTAAACCTAAGGCTTCATGCATGCTAGGCAAGCACTCTATCACTAAGACCTGAGTTTTCAGTGTTTTGATCACAAAGTATCTTTACAGTTGTGGTGTCTGTGTGTGTTGGTCCAAGCGTCTCATGGACTTTCCTGCCAGGGATGGCTTTGGACATTGATTCTCAGATCTCAGCCTTCTGAGTAGCTAGGATTTAGGCATGAGCTACCAGTGCCTTTTTTTGCTTAAGGTTAGGACTCTACCACTTGAACCACAGCTCTACTTCTGTCTTTTTGGTATTTAATTGGAAACCAGTCTCGTGGACTTTTTTTTTGCCTAGGCAGGTTTCAAACTGATCATCAGTTCTCAGCCTCCTGAATAGCTAGGATTATAAGTGTGAGTCATGGCACCCAGCTTAACTGTAAAGTCTTAAAATTAAAGCCTAGATTTATGCCTCTTTTCACACCTAATTCTAGCTACTTGGGAGACAGATGTTGAGAGGATTGCAGTTTCAGGCAGCCTGGGGAAATAGTTGATGAAACCCCATCTCAGCAGAGAAAAAGCTGGGTGAAGTGGTACCTGGCTTCATCCCAGATATGTGGAAAGTGACCATAGCCAAGCTGGGCAAAACATGATACTTAATTGAAAAGTAGAGCAAAAAGGTCTGGAAGTGCTGGCTCCAGTCTATGTAGTAAGTGTGAAGCCTGTAAGTTAAAGAAATAGGAGCCGAGGGCTGGGAAGGTGGCTCAGTGGTAGAGCGCTTGCCTTGCATGCATGAGGCCCTGGGTTCAATTCCTCAGCACCACATAAGCAGAAAAAAAAAAGCCAGCAGAAAAAAAAAAAGCCGGAAGTGGGCCCTGTGGCTCAAGTGGTAGAGTACTAGCCTTGAGCTGAAGAGCTGAGGGACAGCGCACAGGCCCAGAGTTCAGGCCCCATGACTGGACCCCCCTCCCACCCCAAAAAAGAAATAGGAGTCAGGCGCTGGTGGCTCACACCTATAATCCTAGCTATTCAAGAGGCTGAAATCTGAGGATTGCGGTTCAAAGCCAGCCCAGGCAGGAAAATTTGTGAGACACTTATCTCCAATAAACCACTAGAAAACCAGAAATGGCGCTGTGGCTCAAATTGTAGAGCGCTCGCCTTGAGCTGAAAAGCGCAGGGACAGTGCCCAGGCCCAGAGTTCAAGCCCCATGACCGACCAAAAAAGAAAAAAAATCTAATAAAGTGCCCAATGAGCTTTTTTTAATGCAGGTTATACTTACTAATGTCTACTGTATTATAAAATAAATTGGAAGAATTTGGTGTTATTTTTTATTTATTTAAAAATCATAAGCCTACCAAGCATGGTGGTGTAGGCTTTTATAATCATAGACACTAATGAGATGGATACAGTGAGAGTTAAAAGTCAGTCTAGTAGTAGCAAGACCTTAATTTTAAAATCAAACTAGGGTAGAGTGCTAGCCTTGCACCCAGAGGGTCTCAGGGACAGACCCTAGGCCCAGAATTCAAGCCCCAGGACTGGCAAATACATAAATACATAAAAACTAAAGCCAGGTGCCAGTTGGCTCATGCCTGTAATCCTATTTACCCAGGTGGCTGAGATCTGAGGATAGTGGTTTGAAGCCAGCTTGGACAGGAAAAATGTCTGTCAGACTTATCTCCAAAAAACTACTCGGAAAAAGTCGTAAGTGGCACTGTGGTTCAAGTGGTAGACTGCTAATCCTGAGCAAAAGAAACTGGCACAGAAAGAAAAAAAAATAGTGAAATACCTGAGTTCAATTAGTACACACTAAAAAAAGAAGAAGAAGAAGATAGCCGGGCGCCGGTGGCTCACGCCTGTAATCCTAGCTACTCAGGAGGCTGAGATCTGAGAATCTCGGTTCAAAGCCAGCCTGGGCAGGAAAGACTGTGAGACTTCTATCTCCAATAAACCACTAGAAAACCGGAAGTGGTGCTGTAGCTCAAGTGGTAGAGCGCTCGCCTTGAGCTGAAGAGCTGAGGGACAGCGCCCAGGCCCAGAGTTCAAGCCCCACGACCAACAGCAACAAAAAAAAATCCTAAGAAAAAGAAGAAGAAAAAAAGGAAGTAAAACAGGCTGAAATGGAGAAGTGGGCTCCAGTGGGAAGGGGCAGGACTAATGTGAAGAGGGGGAGAATGGGACTAAATGTGGTTAGCGTGGTTTATTCACATATATAAAGATTTAACAATGAAACTTACTGAGATTGTTTAAAGAATCAGGGAGTAACGGTTCATGAAAAGTGTGTGATAAGGATATGTTGCTTAAATGTATGGAAATTACCACAATGAAGCACCCTTTGCACAAGTAATGAACAATAATAATAATAAAAAATTGAAACTTAGACTTGTGCAAGTAATTTTCCTTAAGAGGACTGTTTTGGTGCTTTTAGCATACTTCCCATCTGCCACAGACTATTTAAAACACTTATGTTCACAATTGGTATTTAGTGAAATTAATGTTTTTATTGCTTCATCAGTTCTACTAAAATACCCTTTTATTTATTTTTGCTGAACATATTTGACAGTGAGGAATTTTGTAACTTTTACGACATTGGTTGATGCTGCCTTGATTTGTGTTAAGACACCATTACTGGAGTGTAAAAATACATGAAAAAGGCAAATACCATCCAAGTGTTATTAGCAGTAGTTATTACCTAGAGAACACTCTTAGTGATCACACCTGGAGATAGCACCTAAATTTGGTACCATTAGGGAGGGGGGGTGTGCGTGTGTGTGTGTGTGTGTGCGCGTGTGTGTGTGTGTCGTACACTTGGAGATAGCACCTAAATTATTTGTTTGGTACCATTAGCTGTGTGTTTGGTACCATTAGGGAGGGGTGTGTGTGTGTGTGTGTGTGTGTGTTACATTAGGGATGTTTGTGTGTGTGTCCTACACCTGGAGATAGTGCCTAAATTATTTGTTTGGTACCATTAGCTGTGTGTGTTTGGTACCATCAGAGAGGGGTGTGTGTGTGTGTGTGTGTGTATGTGTGTGTGCAGTACCATTAGGGGTGTGTGTGTGTTGTACACCTGGAGATAGCACCTAAATTTGTTTGGTACTAAATTTGTGTGTGTGTGTGTGTGACACATTTTCTACCCTGGCTGAGGTACTATTAACTTTTGTGTGTGTGTGCTGGTTCTGGGGCTTGAATTCAGGACTTGGGTGCTGTCCCTCAGCTTTTCTGCTGAAGGTTGATACTCTACCAGTTGAGCAGCATCTCTATTTCTGGCTTTTTTTTTTTTTTTTGGTCAGTTGTGGGGCTTGAATTCCCTGTCCCTGAGCTCTTCAGCTCAAGGCTAGTGCTCTACCACTTGAGCCACAGCTCTACTTGCACCACTTCTGCTTATGTGGTGTTGAGGAATCTAACCCAGGGGCCTCATGCATACGAGGCAAGCACTCTACCACTGAGCCACCTTCCCAGCCCCTCCCCCCGCCCTTTTTTAAATGTGGTTAATTGAAGGGTCTCACAGACTTCCTTGCCTGGGCTGGGTTTGAACCTTATTCCTCAGATTTCAGCCTCCTGAATAGCTGTGATTACAGGTGTGAGCTATACCAGCACCTGGTATTAACTCTTAATGACTTTCCCTTGATTGGTTCACAGTCTTGAAGTGGGTTAGTGATTTTTCCTGATGATATTGTAACTCCTATCTAATTAAATAAATTAATAAATGTAGCCGTTATGGAGGTATAATACCTCCTAATGTTTAATATCTCTAATGTGATCCTTACAGGAAGCAGACTTCATAGAAAATAGCTGCAAAGCCTGTGGCAGCACTGAAGATGGTAATGGCTGTGTAGAAGTAATTGTTACCAATGAAAATACATCATGTACCTGTCCTAGCAGTGGCAATCTTTTGGGGTCCCCTAAAATAAAGAAAGGTAAGTAATTTTAAAAATTAACTATTAAATTGGTTTTTTCTTTTTTTTTTTTTGCCTGTCGTGGGGCCTGAACTCTGGGCCTGGGCAACTGTCCCTTAGCTCTTCAGCTCAAGGCTAGCACTCTAGCATTTGAGCCACAGTGGCACTTCTGGCTTTTTCTGCTTATGTGGTGCTGAGGAATCGAACCCAGGCCTCATGCATGCGAGGCAAGCACTCTACCACTGAGCCACCTTCCCAGCCCATGGTTCTTTCTTAAATGTAAGAACTTTTGAGGATTTTGGAATTAAAAAATTATTTTTTAGCCCCCAGATAACATGCATTTTAGTCAAATATCTTTCTCTCTGTGTTTTCTGATTTTTGTTTAACAAAAAGTTGTAAACCCTTAATCATATTTTCACTAGTGTATATCTCCCCTGTCATTAAGTGATCAATTTTGAAATTTTTCTATGCTCCCATTGGTTGTTCTACATTAATGATAACTTCATCTGTTTTTTCCTCAGGCACTTCTCCGCACTGTAATGGTAGTGATTGTGGATATTCATCTAGCATGGAAGGGAGTGAAACAGGCTCTCGAGAAGGTTCGGATGTTGCCTGCACTGAAGGCATCTGCAATCATGATGAACATGGTAGGTTTAGATTACAGTTCCTTATTCTACTACTTGACTGACTTAAGGTCATAAATAAGGTTTATTGACTTTTGCAGGTGATGATTCCTGTGTTCATCACTGCGAAGACAAAGAAGATGATGGTGATAGTTGTGTTGAATGCTGGGCAAATTCCGAAGAGAATAACACAAAAGGCAAAAATAAAAAGAAGAAAAAGAAAAGCAAGATTTTGAAATGTGATGAACATGTAAGTGTTATAACGGGTGATTTTAAACTTTAGATGTTGAAACTGTATTCTTAGACATGGCAAGTGTAGTTTAGCTGCTAGAACTTAAATTTTTTAGGTGAGTATGTTATGTAGTTCCTTTGCTCTGTTCACCGTGTGTGTGTGTGTGTGTGTGTGTGTGTGTGTGTGTGTTATGTAGTTCCTTTGCTCTGTTCACCGTGTGTGTGTGTGTGTGTGTGTGTGTGTGTGTGTGTGTGTGTGTGTGTGTGTGTGTGAAAAGGGATGAGTTATTTGTCCAAAACTCACATGGTAATGTGAGTCATAATTCTTTCTTATTTTCATAATAGTTTAAATTTAACTTAGCTCTGTAATCTTGAGCAGTTTGTTTAGTTTTCCCATTTGCAAAATGGCAACAGTGGTCCTTAGCATATTAGGCCTATGAAGGTGAAGTGAGAGGAGCGCAGATTAGCTAGTGTAGCATGTAGAATGTGTCAGTGGCTTTGTTACTCATTGTTCCTTCTAAGACTTAACAAAAGTAGGGCATTTTGTTTGTTTTGTTATTATTGTCTTGCTTTGGAGCCTAGGGGCTAGCCTGGAACTTGGTTGTCTTCTAAAACATTTGTGTATGCTTATTTTCCTTTGCATAATAATTAGTATTATTTGCTGCCTTTTTACCTGGGCAATCTTTCACTGTGGTTTTAGATCCAAAAGCTTGGAGGCTGTATTACAGATCCAGGTAATCGAGAGACCTCAGGAAATACCGTGCACACAGTGTTTCACCGCGATAAGACCAAAGATGCACATCCTGAAAGCTGTTGTAGCACTGAAAAGGGTGGGCAGCCATTGCCTTGGTTCGCAGAACCCACAGAAACATCATTTGGTCCTGATTCTGGAAAAGGTGCCAAGAGCTTAGTTGAACTCCTCGTAAGTAATCTACGATATATTACTATAGATGTGGGGATAGTAACTGAAGGTTTCATTCAGATGGGGCATAGTGAGGGGCTTCTAAGAAATGAAGAAGATAGTATTCCATTATGTCTTAGTGCCTGCATTTCTGTTCTTCCACTTGATGAAGCTTCTCTGGAACACATTTTTTTGTTCTCCTTTGTCTCAGTGCTATCAGACATTAGTTGGGCAAACATACTAGAAAGGGGTATCATCACGTCTAACCATCTGCCTCTTTGAAGGAGGCTGTTTTAAGCAGATTTTGTCTGAGTGGCAATTTATGATAGCCACTATTCCAGACCAGGAAAGGTATAGAATCTCAACTAAAGCTTGTATTCTATATTATTCCCATTAGGTATTGTGTAGGATAAAGACATAACTGAGCGTGGAAAATACTTTAATTGGTATTGTGACTTTAGATGCATTACATTGGATTTCATGTGACCACCCAGTGCATAGTATATGTGTATTGTGCTGGGAGGAGATTGACGTCTCTTTTTTCTTTTGCCAGTCCTGGGGCTTGAACTCAGGGCCTTGGCACTGTTCCTGAGCTGCTTTTGCTTAAGGTTAACACTCTACCACTTGAGCCAGTGTCCCTTCTGATTTTTTCTGTTTATGTGGTACTAAGGAATTGGAACCCAGGGCTTCATGCGTGCTAGGCAAGCACTCTACCCACTAAGCCACATTCTCAGCCCTGACCTGACTGATATCTTTTCTATAATCAGCATTCAGTTGTTTAGTATCCTTTGGAATACTCGTGTGTGTGTGTGTGTGTGTGTGTGTGTGTGTGTGTGTGTGTGTTATAGTTTACTGGCAATGCTCTGTAACTTTGCTGGTCCTAGGGCTTGAACTCAGGGTTGGGCCATTGTCCCTGAGCCTCTTTGTACTCAAGGCTAGCTCTCTCATCACTTGAGCCACAGTGCCACTTTGGCTTTTTGAGTAGTTTATTGGAGATAAGAGTCTCATGGGGACTTCTCTGCTCAGAATCTCAGCCTTCTGAGTAGCTAGGATTACAGATGTGAGCCACTGACGCCTGGCTTGTAACTTTCTTTAAAAATTGGTTATTATAGAGGTGATATACAGAGGGTTTACAGTTCCATAAATCAGGTAAAGAGTACATTTCTTTTTGGAGCTCTGTAACTTTTTAAGTTAAAAAAGTTACCTTAGTTTGTAGAGACAAAACTTTCACCAGCATGTCAGCTAGAGATAAGTTAGGTATTGCTAATTAGTTACATCTATAATCATGGTGGTTTTTTTGCTATTGCTGTGTTTTGGTAGTGCTTGGGTTTGGATTTATGGCTTTGTGTTTGCCAGGCAGGTGTGATACCACTTGAAATACATCTTTTGCCCTTGTTGCTTCCCCCAGTAAGGTTTTTACTTTTTTCTGGGCTGCTATTGAATTGAGATCCTTCTATTTAGTTCTTAGCTGGGATAACAAGTACATGCCACTGCTTTCAGCTTTTTTATTACTACTTGAAATGAGGTCTTGTGAACTTCTCTGCCTGAGGTGGTTTCAGGCAGAAATCTCCACCTCTTGAGAAGCTAGGATTTACAGGTGTGAGCCACCACACCTGGATAATCGGTCATTTTTAAAAGTCAGAAATGTGGTGACACCATTTTGTTATAGGAATCTAGGATAAATTGTCAGTTCCATGTTTTAAACCAAGTTGAGTTTAATTTATATTATAAGTAATCTATATTACTTTCTAAGACAGAATGACAGGGGCTAGGAATGTGGCTTAGTGGTAGAGTGCTTACCTAGCATGCATGACCCCTGAGTTTGATTACTCGGTACCATATAAAGAGAAAAAGGCAGAAGTGGTGCTATGGCTTAAGTGGTAGAGTACTAGCCTTGAACAAAAGAGGCTTAGGGACAGTGCCCAGGCCCTGAGTTTAACCCCAGGACTAGCAAAAAAAAAAAAAAGACAGGATGACACATTTCTATTGAGGGATGGGGTGGGGGGAGGAATTCTGGGCCTGGGTACTGTCCCAGAGCTCTTCAACTCAAGCCAAGCACTCTGCCACTTGAGCCACAGCACCACTTCCAGTTTTCTGGTGGTTAATTGGAGATAAGAATCTCATGGACTTTCCTGCCCAGGCTGGCTTTGAACCGTGATCCTCAGATCTCAGCCTCCTGAGTAGGTAGGATTGCAAGCATGACACACCGGTGCCCTTTTAGGGTGACATAATTCTTATTTCAACAAGTCCAAGGCTTTATGTGACAGAACTGAAACTAAGAAGCTAGGCTACTTCCATTTTTAGCTTAGCTGTGTTCTATGGGCTTAGCATTTTGCATTCTCTAAATAATGCATTTAACTGCTTCTTTAATTTGCAGGATGAATCTGAATGTACTTCAGATGAGGAAATCTTTATCTCACAAGATGAAATACAGTCATTTATGGCTAATAACCAATCTTTCTACAGCAATAGAGAACAATACCGACAGCATCTGAAGGAGAAATTTAATAAATATTGCCGCTTAAATGACCACAAGAGGCCCATTTGTAGTGGCTTGTTGACAACGGCTGGAGCAAATTAAATAAATAAAATAGCTCTGTCTTTCAATGAAACACTCAAGATGACTACTGCGCCTTCTCTTTCAAAAACTCTTAATTTAGTGACTTATGGCAAAATTTTATCTTAAAATCAATGTGATTCTTTCTTGTTTTGGGAGACGGTGGAGGTAACCTCATTAGTTTGTTCTTTCTTCAGGCTTGTGTCTTTAGTTGCGTGGCTGTACAGGCCTGCCATATGATTTAAGCCATCTCTTTTCATTAAATGTTTCTCTTCCTGTGAGACTTACTAAAGCAACTTAGTGGCAAAGTAATGTTGTACTTATACTTCTGTACAGAAATGACAATGAGCTGAATATATGGTTTTACAAAGTAGACATCCACTTGCGAAATGTTTGGATGTAATGTTAAAGCGCAATGTGCAAAATTTAAAATAAAGAATATTTATTAATACGCACAGTAGAATTTGGTGTACATGTTTCCACTTAATGTATGGCAGTATATTAGTATTTGCCACTTGTGATCATGGTACCTGTTGATGGACAGAGGGTACGGAGCAAATGAGAATAGAGATACAGATTGTTGAAGACTAAAAGTTCTTCACTTGATCAGAGTTATTAACAACCAAAAAAGCAGTTTTTAATCTTGTTCTGAAAGAATAAATTTGCTGCAATACCTTTAAATACTGGCTACCATTTTACTTTCTCATGGCCTTTAATTGCTGTATAAAAGTTCTTAAGAGGTAACCAAAAAAAAAAAATCTCAGAGGTTTATATGGACTTAGAAGCTAATGAAAACAAAAACAAAATGTAGCAGAATTTCAGCCAGGAATTGTTGGATAATAATTACTCAGCATGTGTGATGGGGATCAGAAGGATGCACTGAGAACTGACTGCATTGTTAGCTGTATAAATGCATATACATCCTTATCTGTTTTCCACCAGTAAAGTCACTGCTGTCACAAGCTATCCTGAATACTGAAGATGTTTTTCCAGGAGCAGCATTTTGCTGCCACTTACAAGGCCAAGTCAAATAGCACAATAAACAACATCCCTTAGAGCTTTGTATGTGCATGTAGATAGTACTTCATGACCAGCCAACGGGTGGTAGGGCAGTTATCTCTTGCAGTGTATGGAGTGAATTTTAAGTTTGTTTTTTCCCAATAAACCAAATTTCTAAGATTTCAAGTGGGCAACAGTGGATGCTTAGATTTTGTTTTCATAGTTTCATATTTCTTTGGTCCACCTCCTGAGTTGTCTTTTAAATCTAAATGTTGTATAGAATTGGAACAGAGGTAAAATGAATAATGATTCTTCTCAGACTCTTGTTTGCTTTCATAACGGAAACTATAAAACATGACTGTATTCCCTTGCTATGAGCTGACCCCCTCTACCAGAATAGTCAAGTGTTACTATGAAAGTCCTAAAAGCTATGGCTGCTTTTGTTTTAGTCCGCACTGGGGCCATATGAAGATTGGATTGGAACTTAATTCTGAATGCTGGGAGTAGTGGAGTACACCTGCATTCCCAGCTCTGGGCAAGTACTCTACCAATGAGCTTGTGCTCAGACTCACAGATCTTTCTTTGGAAGGATAGTCAGACTAAGAATGAGGAAATTAGGCAGTTTTTAGCCCTTAAAAAAAAATAATAACCCTATGTGGCCAGAGAACAAAGTAAGCTCAATTCTGAAAACAACCCAAGAAGGGAGAATGGAATGAAGATGTTTGGAGCACTTCTGTAGGCTGGCTGGACTGTGCCCATCCTGCTTTGCCCTTTCTACACCAGTATACTTACCTTTAATGTGGAGAAACTTGGCTGGAGATAGAGCTCAGTAGTAGGGCACTTGGCTGAGTTCCTGGGTTCCACCTCCAGCATACTTCAAAAGTAGGTACTATCTCGCAGGATGGTTGTGCATGTCATACAGTAAGTACTTAAATCTGCGGTATGCCCATGGGGAAGAGGTGTCCGAGATAAGTCAGTAGGACATCCCGCCTGGGTGTGGGTTGGTGGTATTTCAGGGTTGGCACTCAGGATCTCGGTCTTGCTGAGCTGCCACCTGAGCCACACCCCCAAGTCCTAAGTGTTCTCTTTACCATTTAGTTCTTTCTCCTTGGCTACTAAATGTCAAGAGACAGGGTAGGGAGAGCGAGTCTTCCTCAAGGATATTCAGCGTTGATGGCTTCTCTGGGCCAAATTCTTCCCATTTGCCCTAAAATTCTCTTATTTGCCCTTTTAACTTTGGGTTTGTTTTTTTTTTTTTGGGTCCGGTTGTGGAGCCTGAACTCTGGGCCTGGGTGCTGTCCCTCAGCTCTTCAGCTCAAGGCTAGCGCTCTACCACTTGAGCCACAGTGCCACTTCTGGCTTTTTTCT